GGGAAGGTACCTGTCTATTGATTGGAAGAAGGGTTACCTTGTCAAACTCCCGAAGAAGGGAGACCTCAGTGTTTGCAAGAACTGGCTCGGAATCACTCTCCTGTCCACCCCGAGTAAAATATTAAGCCGCATCGTCCTAGAGAGGCTTAAGGATGCACTGGATTCAAAACTACGACTGGAACAGGCTGCCTGACTGGCTTCATGAAGTACAAATCATGTGCAGACCAAATTGCAACGCTTCGCATCATCATACAACAGAGTATAGAATGGCAATCAGCTCTCTACCTCAACTTCATCGACTTTGAGAAGGCCTTTGACAGCGTCGACCGAGAAGTAATTTGCAAACTGCTTCAATACTACGCAATGCAACAAACCTTTATCAGCCTTATTCAACAACTATATGAAGACGCCACATGGGAAGTGATTCACAATGGGAAGCTCAGTGATGCGTTTGAAGTGAAAACAGAAGTAAGACAAGGTTGTCTAGTATAACCCATGATATTCCTGATTGTGGTGGACTGGATCATGCAGCAAACAGTGGAGAGCGAGAAGAGGGGGATATGGTGGACTGCGGAAAAGAACCTAGAAGACTTGGATTTCGCCGATGACTTATGTCTAATGTCACACAAACTTGAAGATCTACAGGTTAAAACTAACAAGTTGTCAGAAGAGGCAGGGCAGCGAAGACTGGACTTCAAGTGAATATAGAGAAGAGAGAGGTGATGAAGATACCGCACCAACAACTCCAACAACAACAACAAACTCCAGTCACCATCAACGGGAGAAATTTAAAGGAAGTAACCTCCTTCACCTACCTAGGAAGCACTGTTTCAACTACAGGCGCCACAGGCACAGACGAGGATATCAAAGTCAGAATCGGAAAAGCAAGACAGGCGTTCATTAGCCTGAAACCAGTGTGAAGATCTTCTGCACTTAGCATGTGGAACAAGATACGGATTTTCAACACCAATTCAGTCAAGTCAGTGCTTCTGTATGGTCCAGAGACTTGGCGCATTACGGAAGGGATTTCCAATAAACTACAGACATTCATCAACAACTGCCTACACTAGCTCCTTACTGAAGATCAGATGGCCAGAATAATAAGAATAAGCAACAAGGAGCTCTGGGAACGAACCAACCAAACAAGAACCTATCACTGAGCAAATATGCAGTTGAAGGAAGTGGTGATGGATTGGGCATACACTGAGAAGGCTAGCTGTGGACATCATGTGCCAAGCCAGGCCCTCGAGTGGAACTTAGATGGTAAATGACGATTCGGGCATCCGAGGCAAGGGTGACATGGAGGAGATGGTGTGAGGGAGGAATGAGAGCTTGTGGGCTGTCGTGGAGCAGGGTTCAAAAGATTACAGAGAAGAGAGTGTACTGGAGACGTGCTACTGAATCCCTTTATTTCACTAGGAACCCAAGGGACAAATAATAATCATAAATAGATCAGATCACAGACCTTTATGAGTGATGAAGCTGCTCTTGAAGTCATGAACTTCGAACACACTAATCACTTAGTTTGAGTTCTTGTTGGGATGTTGACAATTCAATTCAATCCGTTCTCTTTTTATTTTTCTATAAGTTTAGTTATCTAATTGGTTGTTTATAGAGATTTATTGATAAGTGAGTATTTTTTTATCACCAGTCGAAATCATTTGAAAAATCACTGATTTCCTTAGAGTACTGGATATCTGCTTTTTTTCTATTAAGGGACATATAAGTAGCGCACATCAACGATCAGAACTACTTTCATGTCGGTAAATACCTACAAGTCACTAAGAGATTTACCTTTTAGTGGTCATTAATGAATTACCTTGAGATAGATTTTCTAAAGTTCTAGTGAGTATTCATGATTTATGGGTTCAGTAAAGTCAGGAGTGTAGTAGATCCTCACTGATGCTCACGGTATAGCGGTGTGGCAAGATTCAGAGGATGTGGACCTCTGTCTTCCAGCCGAGAGACTGAATGGTAAAAAGATTTTCATTAGATATGGGTACCATGGGCTTAGATCTTAGTGGAGTCGTGGGTGAACGCTACTGAGGAGTGTGAACGTGAAACGAAACCACTGTTGAATGTTAACAGGATTTTAGTGGTTCCTCAGTTGATGTCGAGGCATGAGGAAAATCACCTTTTGATAATCTAATGTCACTCTTCTAACAGTATCTGCATCTGGCAGTCATGAACCCAACAAACGTTTTTGTATCCACTTTTTGGCTGAGATAATGTCGATCCATTCCTACTTACAATAGACTGCATCATTTAGAGTCTCTTGACAAAAAAGGCTGTACGTAGATTCGTTTACGGTAGGATGAGATTATAACTGATCCCGAAACCTTAATTCTACTTTTTGATCGGTATGCATTTCTTGCGATAAAAAGAGATGAAATAACATAGCTGAAGAATTTTCAGAAATGAAATGTGGTGATGTCTGTTAACTACATAAAGTTTAGAGATTTAAAGGTGGTATTTTATCATAGACTGACATCAGTTGGAGAACCACTGAAAAATGGGAACAATAGGGATCTTTTTTATCTTGGTGTGGGACCTCTCAACAGTACACACATGGCCCTTCTAAGGATCTTTCTAGAAACTGCAGGTTTTAGGGAGAGCATGTTACCACTGGGCTAATGGCTATGAATCCGATGATCTGCTTCTTTTTACTTATAGCAGTCTGCGATATGGTACGATTGTCACTTAATACCATCGTTGGCTATTTATACTCATGCCCGACTTATCCTTCTCCGATGGTCTCGACTCTTGATTAAAACTTTAAGAAATCTCATTTCGAACCATTCATTAAGGAGTGCTGAATGCTTGCTCAGTTGGGAGGCATCTCCGAACTGATTGATTCTAAAGTCAACCAATTTCAGTGTGAAGACAAATCGTCGCCGATGGCGTTAGATGATTGTTGTGCTGTATCAAAACTTGACAAAGGTGAGAAAAAGAGGAGCACTGAATTCTAATTTAATGGCTGAGTGGTAAGGTGGCCACCTTCAGAACTGACGGCGTTAGCCTCGACTATTTTTGGCTTCATGGGTTCGAACTGCTGAGGAGCAACACACTGGGACGAAACAGCTCCCACGTTTTCAAGGGTCCTCCAACTGATATCAATTCGTGACAAATATTAACTTGAAATCAATAAATCCCCATAAATATCCAAATACATTTTGAAAGTTCTTAGTCATCAACTCCACAGGAAACTATCACACTCCAGTGGGCATCCAGATCTATGCTAATTCAGTGCTACAGCAATTTATTGTTGGTGTTATCGGGTTAGGAGTTTCTCCAGTAAGTCCTAGAATGAAAAGAAGAAATGGAATACACAGAAGAAGAGTTACGTTTTTATGATCCTTAGAAATTTATTCAGAAATACATAAAAATGCATAAAAGTGGAGATAGTGATGTGGATAATGATCAAGATGCAACTGAGAAGTATTTCATTGCTTACAAAGTGTTGCGATGTAAAGAATGGATATCAGAAAGTCTGTGTAGAATTATTATTACTGGCATAAAGGTGATATTTAAACCTACAAATTCTCTGACAGATGAACTTTGCCAACTTATGGAACCCATCGATCTAATTAAACAGAGTAATTGAATCTATCAAATACCTCTCAATAACTGTGAAGTGAAGTACACAGGTCAAAATAGCCGCCTGGAGTCAATCAGGTTAGTAGAATATAGGAATCTAGCCAAGTTTAGATTGATATAACCTTCTGAGATGAATAATCGGAAGAAGAACTCAGTCATTGTTATGTATGCAAGGATGCACAACCACACAATACATTGGAAAAAAGGAAATGCCCTGGAAGCGAATGCACTTAGTTGGACAGTGAGGGTAGACCCCGAATCTGTTCACTGATTTAACACTTATTCCAGGTACTAGGAAAATCATCCTATCAATCAAATCAAAGAATGGAAATCAGTAGGACTGCAAATAACTAATACAGAAAGGTGTGTAGCTATCTTTGTAAGGATCTAAGTAATAGTTGTGCTGCTAACTTCATCTAGTAAGTAATTATGTGAGCGGTTTATCAAATAAACTTAGTTTACGTGGAAAGACATTCAATCGCAATGCTCAAAATACTTTTCTTAGATTATTTAGACTACTTAATACAGCTTATAGTAGTGTAATGTCAAATCAGTAGATAAAGTTGAGTACAGTTTGAATTATCGTTTAATTATGAGAATTTATCTATAGTTATTTACGTACCATCGTATTTGGGATTCGTCAGCTGGATATACCTACACCTTAGTAAGTGGTATTGTCCCCAAAGAGACTCGAAAATCGTGCGCATCGCTCCAAACTCCAGAGCGTTATGCACTAGAGCACTGACGCAAGTTAACCACCTCTCGACTATTAATTATAACTGTTTGTTAATATACTTGTAATTCTCCAGTGTATGGAATTTGTCTGTGTTATATGTCAATGGTTATCGGAAGAAATTACCAGATGGGTAGGTTTATACTTTCAGTATAATGCTGACTATGGTAGGCCAAACGCTGGGATGTTTGTTGATCTGCGATAACCTACGGTCTGGTATATGCGACGAATAGAGTGAAATTTTTGGCAAGCTGTTTATAAGCAGCTACTTTTCTTGACTTAATTCAGTGTTAAGGACTAATCCACTGATTCTTAACCATTAAAAATAGTTCAAGAACTCTAGCAAGGCAGAAATCTATGAATTGACCTGCTGTTAATAGGAAGTTTGGAACAAAATTTTACCTAACTGAATTGGCAATGTTAAATTAAGTCATGGCGGTTGATGAACAGATGGTTCTGTGACATGAATTTAGCGATGTTTTTATAAGTTTCCTTAGTCCAATGTAAGCGTAAAACTTGATGCTTTGATAGAGTGTGATTTCATATCAGATTTTTTATTGGATAAAGCACACAGTGATATCATTTAATACGATTACCAACAATAAATTCTCTCGGTTGTATTGTGTACTCTCAGCTGTTTTGTTTAATAGTGCTTACACTGTTTTTCTAGACAACATCATCAACACTGACTGCAGTATGAACCGATTTATAGACATAGACCCAGTCTATCAACCTATAATTAAAATGGTAGACAACAGAAAGGTCAGAGGTTAAATAGAGGAAGAGCCATCAGGAAAATTTATTCAGCCAGGCAATGACACAACAATCAGAGGAGACAATCAATCACAAACCAGTTGGTCAGGATAAGCTACAAAATCACTCATGGGGGAAATATTGACAGCTCGTTTCATACTAAAGTAAGTGCAGGTGATTTCGTCTAGAAAGATGATGAAAGCTCCACGATTAAACAATTCAGCTCAGAGAACACAATGCAACCAAGACCATCCACCTGACCTACAAATATTCTCCACCATCTCACAACAAATTCAGCTCGAAACGTCATCCACTAAATAATACTGTATCACTGCATGTTATACCAAGTCAACAAGTTAATATGAAATTATTTTATTACTATTATTTGTTCCTTGGATTCCTAGTGGAACATAGAGATTCAGTAGCACGTCTTCAGTACACTCTCCTCAATGCAATCTTTCCAACCTCGCCCCACCACTGACCACAAGCTCTCATTTCTTACTCACACCATCTCATCCATGCCACCCTCACCTCCGACACCCAACTCACCGTTTCACATCTGAGTTCCACTCCACGGTCTGGTCTGTCACGCCACGTCCCCAATCGGTCTTCTTAGTGCATGCCCAATCAAATCCATCTCCACTTCCTTCCAGTGCATATTTGTCCATTGATAGCTTCCTGGTTAGTTGGTTCGTTACCAGCCATAGTGGGTTCCTCCTTGCTTATTCTTGTTATTCTGGCCATCTGAGCCTTAGTATCGAGCCAAGGTAGGCAGTTGTTGATAAATATCTGCAGTTTGTTAGAAATGCCCTCGTAACGCGCTAAGTCTATCAACCATCATATAGAAACACCGACTTGACTGGATTGGTGTTGAAAATCAGTATGTTGTTCACGCTTTATGTTGAGTGCAGACGATGTCCACACTGGTTTCAGGCTAATGAACGCAGGCCTGTCTTGCTGTCTTTTCGATCGTGTCTGGCTTTGACGTTCTCGTCAGTGCCACCTGTATTTGAAACAGTGCTGCCTAGATAGGTGAAAGAGAATATGAAATTACTTAGTCTAACTTCGATGGTTAGTATTGAACTTGTCTGTCTCATTCAGATTCCTTAGTGCATCCACTGAAACGTTTTGAAGTAAACATTGTTCATCTAAAGTATTAAAAAAATACCCATCTTAATGAATCATATAAAACACTGAAAATAGTGGTATGATAAAACGATTAAACAAAATTGAAAGAAGTATTTTGAACACTTCGATCAGAACCAATGTCAATAGGAATTCACGTGATTTTATGGTAATCTGTAAAGAATTATGGTATTCAGTATTCTGCAGATGTTTTTCATATAGTAATATTTAAAACATTGTCTATCATTTTAGTTAGTAGCCATGCAAAATACATGATGGACAATCTAAGGATTATTTTAACAGCTTTTCAGGTCTTCATTTACTTTGATATACCACCCGAACATCTGAATGATGCTAATGAAAACAACAGCAGTATTTAGGGTAATAACGTGAAACAGCCAACTAGTCTTGAACTACCGTCCAGTCTAGAATAAGGAAATGAACAGAAAATCAAATGTAAGTTTAGTGATAGGCATTCAGTCAGTCAGTACAAGAATCCAAAATTCGACCATAGTGTATCTTAGGGTTAGTAATATGACGTATTTTCGTCAATTTTGGCCATTGGGTTCCTATTCGAACACACGGCTTCATTGATATGTCTCCATCTCAATCTCTTCCCCACAGTCTTTTCAACTCCGCTCCATCACTCCACACACAACATTTCACTTCCTCATCACACAATCACCTCCATGTCACCATACAACGAAAAACTCATCGTTTCACACCCAACTTACATTCGAAGGCCACGCATAGTCCACACTCACATTTGATGTCCACAAACCGTCTTCACAGTATATGCACATTCAAATCCAATCCATCTCAACTCTCTTCTGCATACTTGTTGGGTAATGGGTTGTTGGTTGGTTGGTTTGTTGCCAGTCAGTGAGTGTTCCTTCTTCCTGTTTCTTATTATTCTCACCATCTGATCTCCATTAGCAGTATCGAGTGAGCGTGGGTGATAGGTGTTGATGTGATGTATGTGTGGAGTTAGTTGGGAATGCTTTCTTAAGATGTCAAATCTCTCAACCATCATATGGATGTACTGAGTTACTTGACTGAATTAGTGTTGAAAATCCTTATGTTGTTCTTGTTTTATGTTGAGTGGAGTGGAGTGGAGTGCTGTCGACCACAATCAGGAAGATGGTCGGTTATGATAGGCGGCAAGCTTGTCTTACTCCTGTCTTCACTTTACTTCAAAGGGATCCCTGAGCCTTCTATTGTGAATCATTTGGCATGTAGCATCATCATCATGTAGCTGTTGAATGAGGTTGATAAGGGTTTGTGTCAATAAAACCGAAGTGTTGAAGGAGCTGCCAAATTACTTCACGGTTGACACTATCACAGCCCTTTTCAAAGTCGATTAAGTTGAGGTTGAGTTGAGTCGACTGTCATTCTATGCTCTGTTCTATAATCATGCATAGCGTAGTGTTGCAATTCGATGCATAGATGATTTGTTCTTCCTAAGGCCCGTCTGTTCCGGTCGTGATTTTGAATCAATGGAATTTTTAGTTCCACTTTCAGTGACTGTGAGTTTTTTTCTACTGTTTTATTGTTAAATTGAAAAAAGGGTGGTTGGAAACAGTGTGAAAATGCTAGAGAGTACATGATAAGTCTAAAAGATTAAAACAAATTGAAAGGGGACAACTGAATGAAGCGTATTTGGTAGTAAATTCTCGTAGTTCAAGGTTTAACCAGACTGCCAACCTACTGATTGCTTTTGAAATAGATACCATACAATGTTTTCCTAAGTAGACATTTAAAATTATCTTATTCGAGACTATTTTGACTTACTTACCTTGAAACAGGTTAAATCAGTAAAGTAACATTCACAGACTAGTGGGCTCCTCCAACACGGAAACGTTTTTTAAAGTTTAATTATCTGAATAAACCGACTTCTTAGTAAAACTCTAACTTAGGGACCTTCAATTCAACGCCTTTATTGTAACTGTGATGGCCTTCTTTGTTAGTTCATTTAAGTTCTACAATCCTTCCACGAGACGCTTACCTTAAAATGATCTTTTATGAACTTTGCACTGGTTGTCACCGTTTGTCTAACTGATATTCTTGACACAGGATAGTGATTAGACGTGAGATGAAAACCTGACTCTCAGTAAGATTCGATCCGTCAGCTTTCGGACAGCTATCAACTTGAGATCTGATCAGAAGCATAATCTCTTAAGCCGGCTAACAGGCAGCCGGGTAGGTAATCAGTAGGTCTGTGGTTGAAATTTTGCCAGAACTCAGTTTTTTATTTCATCTTTACCGATCGATCAGTGTCAATAACACCAATCTGTCAAACCATGACTATCTGAGATTGTCACTTTGATAATTAGTACGACAACCCTTCCCCACCCCTTTAATTTATTTCGACTTAGACGGGGGAATCAGTATGATTAAAATGAATAGTAAGGGATGTTTCTCCGACTTAAATGACAGCCATGGTAAGATCTTGTCATCATCATCTGGGCATCAAAGGTCAACCGATAGAACAACGAAACGATAACCGGTAGGCGTCTGTTTTGAATCCAACTGTTACCCGTTGATCACTGCTACGCATCTTTTAATGTTACTTTTCAAGTAAGAAAATTATTTTAACACTAAGGAGTCAGTTCTAATGTAACGAACACACATAATCAGAAGTTGAGAGTATGAACTGTACTAATAGGAAGCATGTGGAAATTCAGTTATTGATAGAATTCACCCTATGTTGGCTAATGTTGTTGTACAGCAGGTGTATTTCATCCTATTCAGGATTGGTCAGCTGAATGCAGATGTACTCTAGTGAGTAAAAGTCTTCTCACAAAGCAGTCGAACTTAGTTACGTTTGCTTCAAGCGCCAAAGCACTGTCCATTAGTTGAAATTAAATGTTCAATGGTTTACAGTTTTATTCAACTTTCAATAACCTTGGTAAAATCATTGATTTTTTCATTTTAAAGAAGTTATTTACAAAGTTTTTCCGTTTATGAAATTATATTATATATCATTAAAAGTTTTACATCTGTCTATTAGTATGATCACACGAGTAGTAGTATGTTTATTGACTGAGTTAGTTAAGTATTTACTTCACACTATTCACCTCTTACAAAAATCATGAAGTTTTAACAAGTTTGGTGATTGACTTTAACAAAAGGCTCTGTTCTTCACTAACCATGCTCATCATCACTACCATTGAGTGCATCATTCCGGTAGTAAATAAACTTTCAGTATTTGCATTACTATTTCTAAGAGTTTGATGACACAAGCCAAGTTTTTTGTTTGTAGACAAACATACACCTACACACAAACATACACACACAAATTATGATAATATGAAAAGTTTAGGATACTTTTCTGCTTACTAATGGTTGTGACTTATTCCTTATTATTAAGACGAATCTTGAATACCCCTCTCTACCTTCATACTTGTATTTCATTTCGTCTAATAGACATTTGTTACTGGGTAATGATTGAAGGTGAAATAAAAATTTGAGTTTCTGACCTGTTACTCTATCAGTTGAGTTACGAGACTGTGATGCGTTACAGTCACTTGGTTTTACTCACATTAGCTACTCAGCTATGACTTTTCATTCAAATCCAAATCAGTGATCAGTTTGACTATTTCAGTTAGCCGTAGTTTAGCATAGTTGTATCGATACTGAGTAGTAATTGAATGTGAAGTAAAAATCTTGTCAACAATTGTCTCTTGTAGGTTAGTTGGTAGAGGACCGAGCCGGAAACCCTTTGGTTGAAGGTTCAAACTCTTCGGCGGCGTAAATTTTCATTTTACTTTCACTTATCACCCAGTATCAATAAAAGTCTGAAAAATCATGGCTATCTAAGAGAGTCAGAATGGATCCTGCAGGAAGATTCTGGTTTGATCAGTCCCACTATCTCTTTTCCTCTGCCTTGACTTGTTAGACAGATGGTGTTTAGAGTAATGTGTGCTGAGCTGGAGTCACAGCGGGGACAGCGGCAGTTGCTGGTAGTCACGCAGACAAATTCAGCTGATAAGTCTCTAATATGTAGGAGGTGCATGTACTGGATCCCACTGCATTTATGCAGTCTTATTAAAAAAGAGTGAATTTATGGTATATATAGGAAGATACTGAATGATAAAAAGAACTACAGTCTTTTTTCTTTCCAGAATATTCTCTCTTACGTGCAAGTGAGCAGTTAGATAGTGGCTGGCAGTGGAATCCAGAAAGCATATTCCTTCCTAATTGGGACTTATCAGCTGGATATGCCATCATCAACATTACGAAAGGATAAATAAGAACGGAATGCTGTATTGTTGAAAACATTTGGCTCTGAGATTTAAGCGCACGGTATGCAGAATTGTAGCTGACTAGTCATAATTAATAAGACGGGCGTACTTCACTTCAGCGTTTATGATATAAATGCATTTTGTACTTGAACTAATCAATGTAATTTGCATGAATAGTTCACTAAAATTTACAGTTTCACAAAATATAAAATGGATAGTTATTGATTTACAAATTCAGTGAATTTGAATGATCACAAAATCAGTTATATTCCATAAACCATAGAAATGGTGCTGCTTAAAACGTTTATTAACCCCCTACTGTACATTGAAATTGAATAGATTACCTGCATTTCGAAACCCATAAGCAGTTTTCGTCTCTCTATTCATTGAAAAGATAACATTTGATATAAAGTCCCTGAAGATTGGGTGATAAAAATTAGAAGTTTCCTAAATCTGCAATCACCAACCAAGAACCTATCACCCAACAAATATGCAGGAGGAAGTGGAGATGGATCCGGCATGCACTAAGAAGGCCGACTGGGGACATCACGCGTCAGGCCCTCAAGTGGAATCCCCAGGGGAAGCGACGAGTTGGACGTCCGAGGGTGACATGGAGGAGGTCGTGCGAGGAGGAAATGCGAGCTTGTGGGCTGTCGTGGGACCAGGTTCAAAAGATCTCAGAGAACAGAGGTCACTGGAGACGTGCTACTGAAGCCCTATGTTCCACTAGGAACCCAAGGGACTAATAATATTAATAATAATAAATCTGCAATCACTTTCGAAAGAAATCAGAAATAGTAAACGATTATCACTTGTCACTTGAGTTCCCATTCGAATATACGGCTTCATTGATATGTCTCCATCTCAATCTCTTCCCCACAGTCTTTTCAACTCCGCTCCATCACTCCACACACAACATTTCACTTCCTCATCACACAATCACCTCCATGTCACCATACAACGAAAAACTCATCGTTTCACACCCAACTTACATTCGAAGGCCACGCATAGTCCACACTCACATTTGATGTCCACAAACCGTCTTCACAGTATATGCACATTCAAATCCAATCCATCTCAACTCTCTTCTGCATACTTGTTGGGTAATGGGTTGTTGGTTGGTTGGTTTGTTGCCAGTCAGTGAGTGTTCCTTCTTCCTGTTTCTTATTATTCTCACCATCTGATCTCCATTAGCAGTATCGAGTGAGCGTGGGTGATAGGTGTTGATGTGATGTATGTGTGGAGTTAGTTGGACATGCTTTCTTAAGATGTGAAATATCTCGACCGTCATATGGATGTACTGAGTTACTTGACTGAATTAGTGTTGAAAATCCTTATGTTGTTCTTGTTTTATGTTGAGTGGAGTGCGGTGTAGCATATCTCCACACTGATTATTACCTATTATTTCAGGAACGCCTGTCTTCCTGTGGGTAGGTGGAAGGGGCGATTTCGTTTAGATTTCTCCTGTTGATTGTGATTGGTGCCTCTTGTTGTTGTTTGTTTGTTATCTTCATCTGTCAGCTGTGTCTTCTGTACGTTCACCTGAAGGAAGTCCAGTCTTCCTTCGGCCTCTTGCCTCGCCTGTTCTGTCAGCTTGTTAGTTTTTGCCTGTTGATCTTCAAGTTTTTCCGACATTTATGAATCGGTAAACCTAATTGAGTCTTTTCAATTTCTTTATAGGTTTTATAACATTTAACTCGTAAGAATGTACTTGTTGTGGAAGACGACATCATTATTTTGCTTAATAAGTTATACATTTGCTGTTGCGTTGAGCACACTAGAGTCAGGTGAGTGTTATTTCTTGTGTAACTGCTTGTAATATTACAGGAGATATCATTAGTACAGTTTTATAATATTGGCAACAATAGTGTAGTCTGTGTAGTCTATCGGGTAATGAGAAAAATGATAAGCAATAGAATGGTGAGAGATGAAGGAGAGGAAGAGTTATCAAGAAAATCTATTAAGTCAGTCAATGACACAACAATCAGAGGAGACAATCAATTACAAAGCATTTGTTCAGGGCAAGCTACAAAATCACTCATGGAGGAACTATTGACAGCTCACTTCATACTGAAGTTATTGCTGATGTCGTCTAGGAAGATGATGAAAGCTGCACGACTAAATAGCCCAGCTCAGAGAACATAATCCATGCGAGACCATCTACCTGTTTCGAAGGCCTGTCTTGGTGTCTTTCCAATCCTGACTTTCACATCCTCATCTGTGTCACCATCACCGCTTGTAGTTGAAACGATTTTGCCTAGGTGGGTGGGTGGGTGGCTAAAACAGACAACTTCGTTCAGATTTCTCTCGTTGATGATTATTGGTCCCTCTTGTTGTTGTTTAATGGGTATCTTCATCTGTCACCTATGTCGTCTCTTCGTTCATCTGAAGGAAGTGATATCTTTGCTGATTTACCTCACGTGTTAGTTTTCACCTGTAGATCATCGATTTTGTGCGACTAGACAATGGATATAATTCCTCATTGACGAAATCCAAATCTTCTCCTAGGGTATTTTCATCGATCCAGGATGAATGCGAAATATATGAAATTCTTTCAGTGATACTTGTCAACTATTGATGTCAGCAAGGCTGGAAATTTGAGCATTTTTTCCCATTTTCTATCCAGTAAATCTAATTATTGTAAGTGTTGAATTTCAGATATGTATACAAAAAATATATGCTTCACTGAGAATTCATTTAACTTACTAATTTCAGATCAGCAATTATTTGCTGACCATATGATGTAGGTTGGTGAGATTTTACCAACTTTTCTGAATATGTGATAGATTGTTTGTGCAAGTTTTCAACTCATGAGGTTAGCACAACTGTCAAAACGTTTAGGGTTTTTATTTTGTGTTCTAAATGCTGGAAAAATTTATGTTAATCGACAACTATGATGTCTTTATGCACTGTTAGTCACCGAATATTCAGAGATGCATTATGAAGTTATATAAGTCTGAGCAGTCAGCTGGTAATTTAAGCTCTCACCCAGTAAGTGTAGCTCATTGTGGACATAGATGCAGTTTCTGAGAGCACTTTGATTCTTTCTTCTTCGGTAGGCTATAAAAAAACGTCTTTAAGGTGATCTGAATACTGATCTAGTTAGCAGTGAAAGTGAACACCTAGTTGCTTGAACCGTTTAGTAACAGCATGATTTCAAGTTGCGGAATTTATTTATTTTCTATTTTAGGTGTGCTTATCTTTTAACACTCTGTATTTTGAGATGATTTTGGATCTTATATTGAAGGTGGTATTCATCACGAACAGTTGCCAGTTTAGGGAACCATTGAAAACCTGGTAAAACTGGACACAAATTTTGTCCTGGTATGGGACTCCGTAGTGGTCCACATCTGTGATCACACCAGAAATGGAACTTTGAGATCGATATCCCAATGTTATGATGAAAAGCCGAGACCAGTGAGACCAGCCAGTAGGACGTGAAGTGGATGTCAGCTGAAGATATCGGATGACAGTCTCAATATATCATAAAATGTCAGAAGAGGGAAACTGTGGACCATCGAACGAATGGTTAATGCGTTTACTGCAAGAACTGAGGGTCATGGGTTCGATTCCTGTTGGGGTCGTGAGTGCCAACTGATGGGGATTCCTATCAGGTTTTCAATCATCCTTCAAGTGGTCGCAGTTCGTGATGAAAGCTGCTGTAAAAATATAAAGCTGTGACGATCCTCCTACTATAATCATAGAACTATGGTATCAGTCATCCTACTACCTGGAAGTAATGAAGAACGCCTTAATTCCAAAAGTCAAACAGTTTTTTCTGTGCCCATCACACGCTCGTTTCGTCCTATTTGAGACTTGTCAGATAGAGTGACCTACAACCCACTGGATGATGATGTGCCTATTGAAACTTAAACCCTCAAAACCCGTCACTTCGAACGCCAAGCGGTTATTCAAGACACCTAGGGCACGAGAGCCGCCATTTTGTATTGAGCATTAGTTTTTACTTATTAATACTTGTAATTATCTCTTTTTATAGACTATCGAATAGTACACATGTTCAGCTAGTCGTTTAGACTATAAAATGAGTAGGTATTTATTTTTCGATAACTTTTATATTTCAACAAACCTGGTGGTCATGAGGACAGATACTCAACAATGATATTGGGTGATGGTTGGGCTTCGCCGTGAACTGAAGGAATGTGGAAATTTGGATCATTGGATTCCGACCCAGTGGTTCAATTATAAGGTGCTAACTACTGGATCTGAAGGTCGCAAGTTGGATCCCTGACGAGGTCATAACTGCACACTGCTGAAGAGTTCCATACTGGGACGAAACAGTGCTCTTAGGTTTACATTATTCTTCCAACTGCTATCAGTCCATTATAAAAACCAACTGGCAAGGAAGCTTAAACACTGGGCTGCAAATGTACCATAGAATATCTATTCTGGTCGAATTATTACGTTTTCTTCTGAATTTCTCCTTGAGTTTCGTAGTAATAGTCTGCTTTTTAATAGATCCTTTGTCTTATAAAGTAATTACACCTTGCTTACTTTACAATTTCTGCTTGCTTGATTCATGTTTTATTTCATCTAGAGAACAAAAATCTTACTGATTATGTCACTGATTTATTAGAACAGAATGAAACTGATACGATAGATTCAGTACTGAGAGAAAATATCACTCAAGGAATAACAACTTCTAGGATGAAGTTGCCATTTGAAGAATTGAAAACAACTCCTGAAATTCCCCATCAACTTCAATTCAATGAAAATGTTACTTCTACACATTTGACAGATGTATTCTCAGAGACATTGCCTGAATTCTTGAATACTACCAATGCTGTACTTATCAATGCATCAGAATCGAATGAAGAAACTTTATATAAGCATTTCAATCATAAACCTATAAAAAATAGTTTGAATGCTACAGATGAAAACCTTTTACACTTGTCAGAAAATCATAAGGAACATGATAAATTGTATCATTCATCTAACGCAATGAATAAAACACAATATCACTTCAAGAATAAGCACTCCAAGGGATTTGATTTAATTAAGCATAGAGGAAAGTCATCACGAAATCTAAAAGATATTCAGAAGCATAATTTCAATCTTGACGATATACATAACCATGAATATAACAATAAGGATGAGAACAATGAGAATAATGAAGATTTAAAGGGAGATGAAGATTCCGTGTTAACATTTCATTGATATATATACACATATACATTAGTCATTTTGTATTTTTTACAAAGTAAACAAGCCACAGCTTTAGACATTGACACTTTAAAAATGATTCAATTCAATGTTGTAATTGTTTAAAATTCATGTTTGATTACGCTTTTTTTTTCTTCAAATTTCTGCCATGTTTAAAATAGATTGTTGTTTTAAATGTCATTGAACAAAATGTTTCAATAAATTTGTTCTAGATAGATTCATAGTGTCTAGTTTTAAGGATGAATTACTCATCTGAGCTATATATAATATGGCATTTCTTAGTCGAATATAATACTTAAGTTTCAGAATAACTTTTTAGCTCTAGGAGTTTATAAGAAATAATCTCCTATTAGCTTGTTGTTAATTGATGAACGTTAGCTATTACATAAATAGGCTGTCTATCTAAAAGGGCACCTCTCTGAAATACATTGAGAAGATTCCCAATCATAAAGTACAATCATTCAGATACTAACAGTTAAGTACTCATAATGTAACTTCAAAAAAACTCAACATCACATTAGTCAGCTAATTTGAATACAGTTTCAATATAACGTTCATAGATGGTAAATTCTTTTAGATGTATGAATATAAAGTTTATAAGAATTCTGCTACTTTTCTCTCCCACTGCGTAAATAGCATTTTCATAATCTTAGATAAGAAGTATGAGTTTAAAGGTTCGTAGAGATTTATTTCATGTTCGTATTCTTTAGGGACTGACATCGTTTAGGGAACCTTTTAAAATCTAAGAGCGCTACATAGCATTTTTCATCTGTGTATGAGACTTCTTGGCACTACACAGGATAGAACTCAGAGCAGTCAGATTCTGCGACAAGCATAATGGAATTCAGCCACCTGGTTGGAGATGAAGACAAGTGTTCAGCGATTGCATTGGACGATGTTTGCGCCATGTGATGATCTAGTCAACATTTTCGTAAAGCCAAATAAGGCAATATTTAACCATTCACTATAGAAAACGTTGGGCTAAATGTAGGGCCAGGCATACGGTTTTGCAACATTTCCACTATGTTGTTTTACCCTGCGTTTTGCTCAATGCTTGTCATATTTGGCCCAACATCTGGTCCTGCAAACTAATTGTTACCCCTAAACTCAACCCTACAGCGCCTAAATTTGGCTCGACCAAAACAGTGGTCCAACATTTAACCCTATATGCACTAGATCTGGCCCCATATCAGATGCATAGCCCAACATGGCTCTATTTGGCCTGACGGAATTGTTGATTGCTGAATTGATTGAAGTAATCGCTGATATGTGATATACTTGCAGCTCGATCTTACATTCCTAGATTCAATTTCTGGCATCAGTCAGTGATGAATACTATCTTAACGAGTATCATTTCAGAAATATACGGCCTCTTTTTGAGGATCAAAAAGAAGTATGTGGCTGAAGTTGACCTGACGGTCCTAAGGTTCCAGTAGCTGTATAATTCTCTACTTGAATAAGAAATCTTCATATTCTTCAAGCTATAACTTACAACGTAGATTCTGTAATTATTTTGTATATACTGATACAGAAATTTGAGAGTCATGGAAGCTTAACTGATAATTATGATTAACAATGGATCTCGACGGACACATGGGAGCTGATAGACAAGAGGAGAGGAAGATGGTGAAGCGGAAGATGAACCAGTGCAAGGATGAACAAAGAAAGAAGAAACTGAACACAACCTTTGAAACACTACACTGGATAAAGAAGTTAAGAAGAGTGCGCAAAAAGACAAAAGACACTTCTACGACACATTGGCAAGCAAAGCAGAACAGGCTGCAGGTAGGATAGATATGACTACACTATATCAAACAACCAGGTTATTCTCTGCGAGGGAAGAGATCAATGTAGATGAAACCAATGAAAGATAGTGAAGGAAAGCTAGTTACCAAAGAGAAGAAACAGAGGAAACAATGTGATGACCACTTCAAAATGCTCTTGAATCGACCACCACCAATACCACCACCTGCAACTCGTCCAGAAATACAGCCACAAGCACCGCAGAACTACCAGTGAACACAAGCCGTCCAACAAAGGCAGAAATGCAGTCCTATGGGCCATAAAGTTGCTGAAATCCGGGAAAGCAACACGATCGGATGGAATTCCTCCAGAAGCACTGAAAACATACCCAGAGACAACAGTGGACACGCTCACACCACTACTGCAGAAGGTATAGAAGGAAGGAAAGAAAAGTTTATGTCAACTGGAAGAAGGGTTTCATTGTCAAATTCCAAAAGAAGGGTGAACGGAGTTACGCAAAAACTGGCACGGAATCATGCTCCTGTCCACCCAAAGTGAGCAAAATATTACGCCACATAATCCTGGAGAGACTAAAAGATGCTCTGGATTCGAAATGACGACTGTAACAGGCTGGCTACCGGAAGAAAAAATCATGAGCGCATCAAATAGAAACGCTACGCATCATCATAGAACAGAGTGTAGAATGGCAGTCAACTCAACCTCAAATTCATCGGCTTTGATAAGGCCTTCGACAGCGGCGACCGACAAGTCATCTGACAGGCAGCTGCTTCAACACTACGCAATACCACAAACCTTTATCATCCTCATTTAACTGCTATATGGTATGCTATATGAAGATGCTACACGCCAAGTGATTCACATTGGAAAGCTCAGTGATCCCTTTCAAGCAAAATGAAGATAGGAGTAAGACGAGGCTACCACCTATCACCACTGCTCATCTTCCTAATTGTGGTCGACTAGACTAGATTTGGATTTCGCCGATTATGATTTATGTGTAATGTCTTTTCTCACAAACTCGAAGATCTACAGGCGAAAACTAACAAGTTGGCAGAAGAGGCAACGAAAACGGGACTTGAAGTGAATGCAGAGAAGACAGAGGTGATGAAGACACCCAACCGACAACAGCATCAACAACAAGCGCCACTCACCATCAGCGGGAGAAATTTAAAGGAGGAAGTAAGCTCTTTCACCAACCCAGGCAAGGCAGCATCGCTTCAACTACAGGTGGTGGCACAGACGAGGATTTCAAAGTCAGCCACGATCGGAAAGATAGAAAGACGGGCCTTCCTGCATTAAGCTGAAATCAGTTTGGAGATCTACTGCACTGCGCGCAGCACAAACAACAAGATCCTGATTTTCAACACTGACGTCAAGTCAGTGCTTCCATATGATGGTTGAGAGATTTGTCGCGTCACGAAACGCATTCTCAATAAACTACATACATTCATCAACAGCTGTCACCCACGTTGGATGCCGAAGATCAGATGTCCAGAGTAAAGAGAATAGGCAACGAGGAACTTTGGTAACGAACCAACCCAGAGGCTATCATTCAACAGATATGCATAAGAAAGTGGGGATGAATTGGATTGAATATACAATGAGAAGACCATTCGGAAACACCACGCCCCATGCTAGGTCACACCATTGAGTGGAATCCAAATGGGATACGAAAAGTTAGCCATCCAAGCAGAGGGTGACATGGAGGAGACTATATGAGGAGCAGATGAAAGCTTGTGGCGAGTGGTGGGGTCAGATCCGAGCTACTAGAGAGAACAGAGTGCGATAGAGGTGTGCTACTGAAGCTCTATGTTTAACTAGGAACCCAAGGGAAAATTAAATACCATAATAAATAATAATAGTTTAAATCAACTTCCATCAATCAAGCTTCGCAATATGGTCTTCAGACAAGTCAGTTAGCAGAAACATCTGAGCCTACGTCTCACGCTTATTGGAGCTCATCAGGAAGGCAGATGTACAACATTGATATGACTGGTGTTGGATCATGGTTATAGATGAGGTCTTTTATAATGAAAGTTCTTCAAATGTTGAGTAACTGAATAGTTAACGCGTTTGCTTAGATATAATAATGATAATTGTTTGCCTCCTGGGTTCCTAGTGGAATATACGGCTTCACTTGCACGTTGTCATTTCACGCTCTTCTCTGCAGTCTTTTCAACCTGGCTTCATGAATGCCCACAAGCCTACATCTGTTCGTCACATGATCTTTTCCATGTCACCCTCGGACGCCAAACTCGTCGCTTACCATGCTAGTTCCACTCGAGGGACTAACCTGACCCTGCTCGAGATGTCCCCAAATGGTCTTCTCATTCTATGTCGAATCCAAGCCAATCACTCTCCACTTTCTTCTGGATATTTGTTGGATGTTAGATTGTCGGTTGGTTGGTTGCCAAAGTTCCTTGTTGCACTGTAAGTTACTTATTCTTACTAATATACTCTACCTCTTAAACTACTGGTAAGTGAATTAAGTAGATAGTTCTGGATTTATTTCCTACTTTAAAAGCTGCATTAGCAGTAAGTAAGCAGAATGAACTTAATAGTCCACTGTTACACAAAGATAGCTACAGTTTGCATATCTTTTGCAGAAAATTAGGCATTCAGTTAGCCCTTGGACCGGTCAAGTTGATCATCACAGAAGCTATTCTATTTTCGAATTACACAAAACATTGTGCTACTTAAAATGAATAGTTCTTATAAGTTTTAGAGATTTTTGGATGTATATCAGTGACAGGACTGCTTTCCTCATTTGATTCATTTCGTCAAACTAACTAATCAGTAAATTAATAATCAAGGTATCCAGAGATTATTCCTAGTAATGTGAAAATATCATTCATTCATATATTCTCTTCCAGTTGATAAATCAACAGTATTGTGACACATTTCCTGCATCCATGACTATGACTTAAGTTTGTCGAAGTTGCACACGGTGAAATTCTCAACTTACAAAATTTATTAAATTATTTGCACACTCGCCTTTTTTTATTTCATCATGGAACATACCCCTCGAAAGCTTGAGACCATATTTCAGTCTAATACTATTTGATGATTTCTTATCTGGAGGTTTGTGGGGATTTATTTATCAGTTTCACTTTGCTAATCGTCACGAACTGACATTAGCTGGAGAACAATTAAAGACCTGAGAGCATTGGACAACTAGTTCCTCCTAGTGTGGGGGTCCCCGACAGTACAAACACACGACCCCGTCAAGGCTTGAACCTAGGACCTTCAGGTTCCATTGCCAATGCGTCACCGCTCACCCATTGGGATGGTAACCATATGGTTTGCTTCGTTTTGGTCATCGTCACATGAAATAAAAATACCTGATCGGTGGCTGACTTTCTTAGTTAATTTGGCATGGCAGACGTCATATAACCCGTTGGAAGCAACCTAAATTTTCCATTCAACTTCAATCATCAATAAACCAAGCATGCCAAACCCTGGATATCCCAGACAGTTTCAATATTAGTTAATTATCCCAGTTTGAAGGTAATTTAAACACTGCAG